AAAAAAAAGGTCAGTAAATACTGAAGTTGAACTGAAGCTTCGGGTCGACCCTTACTCTAATGCTTCTTGCGCATTCCTGCCCTTTCTAAAGGTTGCCTAGCACTTTGTTCCCCTTCCTTGCAATGTGTGTACGTGGCGTCTGGGCCTCTTCAGAGCTTTTTATTATCATCTGTTTCATTACAGTCTTGGCTCCGTTCCAGAACGCTGTCTTGCACGGAGGCCAGTAGGAAGTTCTCTGTGCCCTAGTATTCCTCCGTGAACGTGCTCGCATCGACCCACTGAGCCCTCGTGTCTTGCGGTTTCCTCTGTTTTTCCCCTCCTTCACTAGGTTCACTGGAGAAATTTCAAAGTTCATTCTTCAAATTCAGTTTCACTCCCTAACATCTGCCCGAATGACGATCATTTGTGTGTGATTGTGCGTGTGGGATTGGCAGTGCGTGTGTGAACCACCATCATGTTCCGATGAGAATGCTGTGCGCTCCTAGTCTAGTATTGGTTTTCAGAATTGAGAGCTGCATTTAGTAATAATACTGCTGCACAACTGTTATTTGAGCTCATGGATAGTAATAGGCAATACTTTTCAAATAACAAAAATGTGCCAAATATATTACTTATATTCATAGAACATAATATTAACTGTTATTGTAATATACAGTTATTTTGTACCGATCGCTTTCCAGAGAAATCAGATATTTCTATTTTGCATTCTTTTGTAATGTAGTACAATTTCATTACAAATTCTATTATTGACAACAACTTGAGTGAATATTTACATGGATTTTCAGATTTTCTTAGTATTTGGTATTTCCCCTTTTTTGCTTTAATGACCGCATGCACGAGCTGGCCTGGACTTGTCACTTTAAAAAAAAAAAAAAAAAGATCCATTTTAGATCAAATCCATCGGAGCGTCGTCTGAACACATGCTTCAGTAGAAGAGATTAGGCACGATGAAAATCTGACCTTTTGTACAAAGTGGTTAACACGGTCACTATCACACGGTTGCTTACATTTAAATAGGGACCTAGACATAATGCAGAATCTTGGATGCTAAATATTCAAGATATTGAACATTTACTTTCTTTCTTTTAAATATTTAAAAAATTGGAACATTTTCTGATTTTAAATGGGGGAAAAAAAAAAAAACTCCCAGATTTTCAAGGTGGTCTCAGACTTTTGGACTGTGCAGTATATATGCAGTGAGCTTAACTGCCATAAAACAAACAAACAAACAAACAAAAAAAAACACAGCAACAGTACAAAAGCACAATCCAGGTTTACAAGACAAGACACAGTAAAATATATAACAGACAAACAAATCTACAGAAGACAGAAAAACAAAAATTTTTAAATGTAAAAATGACCAGGTTTTTTCCCCCTCAGAATTGTAGTCTCATAAACTTGGCAAGATCTTCCATGGTGCTACCCAGTCCATCACAGAGCACAACACACACACACACACACAGCTCACAGAGATATTGGGAGAACATGCGCAAAAGCCCGAGATTGAACCAGTGATCCTGGAGTTACATTAAAATAACATTAAGATTAAATAGAATAGATGTACATTAAAATAACATGCAGGTACGGTAAAAAGCAGTTTTGCCATCAGCCTCTTGACATCGTTAGAACAGATTTGTCAGAAGGATTTGTGTGTGTGTGTGTGTTATGATAAAGGATCTTCTTAATCTCTTAATAGTATGAATGTTGTTTTTTTTGTCTTCCTTATATTGTCCTAAGGGTATTCGGCTGTATGTGCTATAAATACAACATGATTACCACACACATAGGATAAAGAAAACAGCAGTGTTTTGTTAATACATAGGATTGTGTGTGTGTTGTAAACGGACTGCTTAGCAAGAGTATTTGATGATAACATTTGATGATAAGCCTGTGGGTTGGTAGGTTAAAAAAAAACTCTCCCTGCAGTAAAGGTGTGACCGTTTATTAGTTACTGCTGGTCACTATGCCACACTGTGGTAAACACAATAAACTCCTCACCTGCTTAGTGCTCCCCTTTTGGGGGGGGAAAAACCCCAAAACAAAACATGCTGCTAGAAAATATGTGACAACAAATACGTTCGATACCGATAAATAAAGAAACAAGCAAATCCGTCAGTCGGAATTGAAAAGCTACCATCTGTCACAACAAGAAATAAAGCCCATGTTCCAGTAGTGTCTGTACTCGTTTTTGCTTTTATTTAGTAATCTTAGGTAGAAAATCTAGTAAACATTTCGAGTGCCCTAAACCAGTCAGTGTTTTCTCTTTAGGTTTCTCACAGTAGTGCTTCTGCCTGTTGGGCTGAGCGATAATAGTGAAAGGATACGAACCAGATCAGCAGTCCAGATTGTAACAAAATAGCCAAGTGCCTGTGTTCGTTCAACCATTCATCCATCTTCAGTAGCCACGTCGGGAGCCTATCCTGGGAACACCGGGCACGAGACAGGAATACACCCCAGCTCCGATGCCAGTCAGTCGCAGGGCAGCATGCACACATCTGTAGTGAAAAATTCCCTCCATGATAAAATCGTTTCTCTACTGTGACGTGGGGTCAAGGCCTATTGATGTGGCTGGAGCATTGCAGGCAGTGGATTCAATATATGTTTATAAGATATGTGTGCTGGCTGTTTTTCTTTAAGGTTTAGTGTTTTCCCCAGTCTTTCCAAGACACATTTACAACAGAAGATGTTAGCTTTGCTAAGTCAAACCCTTCACTCTTTTGTGTTATGTAATAGACCCTCCTAGATCGCAGGAGGGGCCTCTGTATCTAAAACGAGTGACCAAAACAGTGACACCTGGCAACTGGGCATCATTGCAAATATATAATCCTTAGGACTGCTAATGGGAGGTTTTTTTGCTGCTGTGGTTTTATATACATTATTACATTTCACACAGCACAGGAGAACCAGTGTTTGAGCTGAAGCAAGATTGAAGCAAGTATTAGACTTATTTTTAATCATTACAGTGGTATTATACTGGATGCCTACTATAATGTAACATTTTATGTAAGAAATAAAACATAATGGAGCATGCTGTTGTGAGAAAATAATCAACGACATAGGGCCACCGCCACCAGTTTGTTGATAGGGGTAGGGGGTTGTTGGATGTTGATGGGGGTAGGGGGTTGTTGGTTGTTGGATGTTGATGGGGGTAGGGGGTTGTTTGGTGGTGGTAGGGGGTTGTTGATAGTGGGTG